CCCCCCCCCTTTGTTTAGTCGAAGGAGGGGGGGGAGGTCGTCACCCTCCCCCCCGTCAATTTTGTTTGGACAAAACTGGGGGAACTATCCGTTTTCTGGGACTCAGAGATCGGAATTTGGGAATGAGGAACCCCTCATGTAGTAACCCCCCGTGTGTCCATCGAACGGATGGCAAACCCAATCAACCCAGTAACGCGTGGCACTTGTTACTACTAGCTTCTTGCTCCTAGTAGTAAGGCACTTGTTACTACTAGCGTGGCACTTGTTACTACTAACAACTCTAACAATGTAGCTCACGGGCTTTTCTTGGGAAGTGGATCTATCTTCGCTTGGGATTCGATCCTTCGAAAACTGACGGCATCCACCCGAACTGCACCGAACACCGACCATCCACCCGAACCAACACCTGATCCCACCTGTGAGACCGCGATCGCGTCTCTCGTTCGTCTCCTCTCTCCGCTCAGGCTTCCGGCTCCGTTCGGCGTGCCCTGAGTGAGGTTCTGGCCGTGCTGGGAGTTCAATGGAAGTGAATGAACACGTTGAACAATGGTGAACAAATTGCCGTTTTGGATCCTTTGGAGGAGGCTTTCATAATAATACTTAGTTTTCCCTTTCTCAGGCCGTGTCTTGCCTTGACACCAACCTTTTTGCAACCCTCACTGTCACAAACTGAAGCCAACACCAAGAGAAACGGCTCCCACTTCGCGGAAAGCTCACCATCCAACTGGACCGACCATCCACAAGATGGCACAAGATGGCACAAGGACGCATCCGAAGATCAGATTGCTCTTCTTTGTTCCATTCATTTTCACACCAGACGTGCAACTCCCGCACCGACCCTTCGACGTCGAAGCCCAAGGCGCGCGTAGACCTCCGGCCATGTCACCGAGCGATCGGCATCGAAGCCTCGGGCAAAACACAGGGTGCAAGATGGTGTGTGCAAGTCAAGTAAGTGTGTGTGTTTCTTTTTTTCCATCAAGATGGTGTGGGATGTAAGAGGTCTGGCGGGTACTAGGTGGTTTCAAGATGTTTCAATCGTTTTTGGCTTTCCACGTGCCTCTTCAAAATCATTTTTCCACGTCCATGATGGGAGGGTCCTGTTGTGCCCCGGTCTCATGACTTGGCCCGACACTTCAACAGCCTTGCCTCACTAGGCCCGGACACGACTCCACCGCCATGCACGCCATCAGCGCGGTCCGGAGCGCGAGGGAGCGCCATGCGCTTGACCGGGATCCCGGGCCCTGGGAGCTTGGCCTCAATGGTTGACCCAAGTTTCGGGAAGATGAGAGCCCGCCACGAACGGAGCAAGGACGCTGGTGGCAAGAATCTCTGGCAAACACTGCTACGAATCAGAGTTAGAGTTCTTGTTAAATGCCTCTGCCCCCCTCAAAATTGGAGAGGTGGAACATGGTTGAAGCAGAAAAGACGACAATCATATCTGATTGACATAGGATTCTCAGAAACTCCTTCCAAAGCTCACATCGAGCCAAGAGTTCCAAGCTCGGGCTCTTTTCCGAATATCTGCCACAGCCGCGCGCCCCAGCGTCGGAAGGATAGCGGGTGCGGACGAAGTCGTGGCCTTAGCGAGGGCTCTATCAAAAACACAGTAGCTTCTTAGCTCCTAGTAAGAATGCTACTAATAAGTTTCAAACACATACTAAAAAGCTTCTTGTGACTAGTAGCTTCAAAGACCTACTAGTAGCTAGCTACAACTCTTCTTGCTCCTAGTAACTAAGAAAACACCTGTTGATGCGAACAAAAACGCACTTTGCCTCTGAGACTCCGCAGGCCTAGATTCTTATCCGTGACATCCGTCGTTGGCCGTTTAAACGACCGTCTCTGCAATGCAAGGGTGCGGCCTTTTCTTCCAAATCCATGCGTGTACTGATATGCAATCTCTGTTGATTGGTCCATCTGGGAAAGCCCCAACCAAACTGAAAGTTGGCTGTGGACCAATACACACCTTGACATATAGAGATCCTTTTACCCTCCACATTGCCGAGGTTTAGTTGCGTAACCGTCATCACTCTTCTTCTGATCATACAGAGATTGTTCTACTCTCCTGATCCCTCTTGGTGGGATGAGTTTTATTCAGCAAACAGGACGATCGTAATTAGTCACAGGTTTTCTTTTCGATGTTGGATCAACATGCTAACACCCAAATATCACATGATAGGAGCCATATGCCATATGCATGGATATGCACGGACATTGCCTGACTTGAATCCCTCAGTCTCCACCAGCTCAGCCGCTCTTCCCCGCCCGCCTGGACGCCTCCACCGTCTCGGCATCGCCCGCCGTGGCCGGCACCAGCCGCGGGAAGTGCGCGGCGCGCGCGAGGCGCCAGCGCTGCACCGGCGACAAAGGCGAGACGACGTCCCAGGGCAGGTGCCGCTGAGCACGCAGGAGGGGATCCTGGGGAGCGTCTGGGGCCTTCTGGTGCTTGCTGGGCTGGCTGAGATCCAAGTGATACGCAGGAAAAGACCGAATTCACAGGGCAGCCTGCTGTCTTCAGAGTCAGCTGCCCATCAACACACTGGGCACTTGTTGAGCAAAAAGGCCAGGTGTCTTCTTCGCCCCAGTCGTCGACTACGGCGCGCGCCAAAGAAGCCGGCGCTCCTGGCGCTTGATCTGCTGGATCAGCAAGATCACCCCACTCACACGGGGCGTCAGCGCGAAACGCTGTCGTGCAGTGACCTGCACGACGGGAGCTCGTTGGTGAAAGAAGGGTGTCGAAACGGTCCTTCACATGCTTACCTAGCCTTTTGCTGTTTCAAGCCTCTCCATGGGCGGCAGCAGTGAAAACTTCCATCTTCCGAAATCGAGACTGGCGGTCTGTAACCACCCCACCGCACGACTGGATGGCTGCTGGGCCTTCCAAATCATCTGCTCAGACCCAGACTGCTCCAGCTGCAAGGCTGCCAACCTGTGACGGAACTTTGTTCCAATCATTCACCAAACCGCAGGAAGGCAGCTCCTAAATACTGCTCCTCTTTAGTCGTAACCTGAGGTTGGCAAACTCCAGTGCTCAAGCTACTGGAAGTTTTTAAGACTGCAAGGAATCGCTGTCCGTGAGAGGCTTTAGGCATCTTTAGGCCGTAATGATCATCCTTTGGATCTCTTCACTACAGGAGAGGCAGGAGAGGTGAGGGGATGATTACTATACAGATCACCTCATCATAAGTCCACATATTCAACGCTACTTGCTCAGGCCAAACACCTTAGGGTCATTGAAAAGCCTTTTTCGGACCATAGGACCGGAAGCACTGCACTGGGACGTTCCGTTCACAACATCCGACCTCGCTTCGGAGTGATCCCGACCACTTCCGACCGGTGTTCGTCCCACGAAGCGCAGCCCAGGAGCATCTTCTTTTCGACCTGCCCGCGAGCTCCCAGTAGGACCTCGTGGAGCAGTCGATCAGGCGGCAAGGGTGAGACCGGTCCCCACCAAGTCCCAGGGCATTGATGAACTTTGCACAACAAAAACAATTGACCAAGTTTCCTATTCCATGGACTTCCCTACCTCTTCACTTTCAGGTAGCACCGCCCAGGAAGTAGACACATGTAATATGTATAGAAACTTTGTTTTTGCCGCTGTCTACTCACACCATATCCCATCCAGGCTGCACCAAACCTCAACCACCCCAAGCACAACCTGACACCAACACTGGGTTGTTCTCTTGGTCGAGCGGGGGGCTAAACAATCCCGCTGGGCGCCCGCGGCCAAGCGCCCGGTCGGCTTGAGGACCCGGAAGATCTCGCGGAACATCTGGCGGAAGAACTCCTTCCGGGGAAAGGTGGCAGGATGTGGCAGGTGAAAAATGTTGGCAGCGGAGTGGGTTCGCTTCGTTTGGGGTGGAGTCGGTGGGCGTGGGTGGAAGGTGTGTGGGTGGCTGGTGGAAAGCAACACAATAGCTGGTGGCCTAGAAATGCTAGAAGCACACATTGCGAATTCTGAGTTCTTAGGGGATGTAATATCGCATGCTTGGATGTGCTTTAAGGAACCAGGAAGCACATTCCCCTGAGCCACCCTTTGGTGAGGCAAACTGGACCCCCCCAGCCAATGGACCTCCGCAGCAGATCTCCGCAACTCCGCCGAACGCGGAGATCTGAGCCTCCAAATCCCCATCGACCGCGAACTGCTTGTTCCAGGGTGGGGCCAGCAGCACTTTGTCCACCTCAAGACACATGGTGTGGCGCGACTTGCTCCAAAAAAGGGGTGAATGGTACAAGCAGGAGCCCCTAGTAGCGTCCTTGTGCGTAGTAGCGATGCCCTTTGCTCCTAGCAGCTTACATTGCTCCTAGTAGTAAGGCCAGGAGCCCCTAGTAGCGTCCTTGCTCCCAAAAGCAGCTTTAGATCTTGGATCTGATTCCGAACGCCAACCAGTTGATTGGTGAGGATTTCGACCCCCGAAAAAAATAAGTTGATCAAATCTTACAAACTGGGACGCTGACGAAAGGACTGACGAAACGACGAAACAGGGACGCCTTGAGCTTCTTAGATCAAGGAACCTATATTTATAATTATATGCAACAGATCCTCTTTGCAAACACCAGTGTGCCATGGATGATTGATGCTGCCACACGAATTCCAACCATTTCCTTCTGAAGTCCTTGAAGAGAGACTTTGCCAAATTAACGCAATCTTGTCACTCAGAAAACCATTTTCTATCCTGCAAAAAACCATGGAAAATCAATCTTGCAATCCTTTTCACTTTGGGAATTAACACCATCCTGTAAAAAGCTCGACATGTCCCTCATTCTCCCTTCATTTCTCCGCCAGGCCACCGCCCCCGCTTTGGCGAGCCCGCCCGGCGCAACGGCGTCGGCCAGCTCCAGCGTGAGACGCGCCGCGTGGCCCGCGTCGCGGCCGAGGAAGTGGAAGTTCGCCTCGAAAAAGACGAGCGGCGGAGCTGCCAATGGCAAACTAATTGGAGGTATTTGTCGAACAAAGCCCCCCCCAAAACCAATCCAAGTGGAAATCCTGAGACTGAAACCAAGTGAAACCTGCAACCAGTCACACCAAAAAAAGAAACAGCAAGCCAAAGTAACACGCAAATCACCTACCAAGCGAGTTGATTAAGGGTCGTGAAGCGCGTGGTGAAGTGTTCCTCATCCGGTCGTACCTTCTCAGAAGGTATGACTGGACCCTCCAAACCTTTGTAACAGTGTCTCTAATCACCTTCTCACAAGGTATTTAGATTTCTAGGGATTCAGCATATCATGGTTCTGAATGCGCACCCTTGCTGCAAGCCTCTCGAGATCATGACATGATCGAAGCCCGGCTTTCACAGGTGACAGTAGTTGTTGCTTCTGGCAGGGTGGCTTTGAGGTCACAATGAGGTCACACATTCCCTATAGCTGTTTCACTCTGTTCCACTATTCTCCCCTCGTTGAGGTGAACGTCCTGTGGGATTTCTTCAGGTGCTGCCACAAAAGCTTTAGAGACTGAACTCACACACCTGAGTGGCATAGCCTTCTGAGACCAAGAACCTCAGAACCATCCATGGCAACACACCAACAAACCCTAAATTGAAAAAAACATTGTAAAAGCTGACTATGACCATGTCATCTAGATATATATGCAATGACTATGACTCGATCCGCCCATGTCCCGCCGAGAGGCACGGCTTTTCTCCAGCTGGGCCGGGTCAATGTCGTACCCTTGCGGAACGGATGGCCAGGTCACGTTCCGCGGCCGGCGTGCATGGCGGACGTCATTTGGACGACACGGTGGACGAGCAAGGACAGTGCCATTGAACTACACTCCGACGAACACATCACATGGAAACACATCACATGGAAATGGATGGCAAACCCTGTTCGTAAAGGACAGTAGTCTTCTAAGGGACCATGCCATCCACTTCCATGTCAGTGAGTCAGAGTGTAGGACCTATACAACAAAGGCTCGTGCAGCTGTGCAGGACATGTCCTGCAGCAACGACAATTCATAACAATAGTACCGTGCGCATGGTGTAGATTTGCAGCAGCTGGCAGCATAAATCACTCTTGGACTGTTGCGACCCTCCGAACAACTGTCCAATTGAACCACGAACACATGCCCTTCTCAGGCCCCAAAAAACAACTCTGCGCAAAAACCTGCGTTTCCTTCAAGGGGATTCACCACATCTTCAGCCACCGGCGGCCTCACGACCTCACATGCCGCGCGCGGGAAGTGCGGCCGAAGCGGCCGATGAGAGGCGCGTGGGGCCACCACAGCGCCACTTCCGTCAGCAAGGTGCCGCGACCGCCTGGGCCGAGCGGTGCGTGGCGCGCTGGCGGGTGGCAGGTTGGGAGGCGACGTTCGCCCGAGTTTGAACGGTTGACCCGCTTTTGGGGGATCTTCCGGAAGGGCCACCAAGATGCAAAATCCAGCAATTTACAAGCCCACTTGCAAGTCTGTCTTCTGTCTTGTCCAATAACTCAAATGGCTGCACGCCATTCCCCACAAGACCCGAGAGCCTCTGTCCTCGCAGATGGAATTTGTAACTTCAATGCCATTTTTGCAGCAACTGGCTATAACCCACATTAACCCACACCTCCTTCCCACACTACTTGGGGCTTCTCTCCCTTCTCTCCCGAGACATCCCAGTGGCACATGGGGTCCAGGACCACCTCACCAGGCTGGATGTCGAGGCTCTTGGCCATGGCCCAGGCCTCATTCGTTGGACACGGAGACCTCCGTCAACCGTCCCTCACAGTGGCGCTTTTTGGCTTTGGGTAGGGAAACGACTTTATAGGGAACATCTGCTCATGAGTTCTACCCTCCAGAAGCTGAAATAGTCACTGCCACTGTGGAGAACATAGAGACATTTTTTTATTCAAACCCTTTGGTGTGAGCCTGCTATGTCTATGCCTCAAACCTACATATGAAGATTAGAAGATTCTGGTGTACTACAGAGATCCAAATGGCTGAAACCGCCCGTGACTCAAGTGGACGCCTTTTTTCCGTCCACCTGCGCCTTCGGAGATCGGTATATAAGCAACACAGGCCAAACGAACAGCAAAGGATATAGGCAATACTTGAAGAAATACATCCAAAATCCACAGCAATTGCATTTTTCAACAGCAGCCAGTCTTGTCCAAAAGCGAACCTGCAGAGGACGATCATCCCGATCGTCCCGAGGACGTCTCTCCGCGAATCGCGGCCTCCACGTGCCCCATACCCCGAAAAGGCCAGCCAGCGCCCAGGATCGGGCGCCGCTGCTTGAGCAGCGCTACCTCAAGAAAAGGTGAGGCAGAGCGATGAGGAGGGATTAGGTAGTCCGAGTCTCAGTGAGTTTAATTTGATCATTTACCAGACATATAATTTCATACGTGGTGGCGGCGATGCTTTGAGATTGGTTGTGTTGTGTTCGCTTGCCCGACGGACTAGTAGCGTCGTTGCTACTAATAGCAATGGCCTCCAACCCAATAGCGAGGCCTCCAACCTAGTAGCTGTTTGCTACAAATAGTGCCTTTTGAAACGTTTTTTTCGGGCGCACGCCTCCAATAAGAGGCAATTCCAGAGCATCTGCATGTGCACCGTGACATGCGCAGTTCCTCGGCGGGCGAACGTGGTGCGGCCGTAGGTACGTGCCGTGGTCGCCGGCAGTGGCGTACCACGAGGTGCCGGTGGAGCGAGGGCCAGGGCGGGGTGAGTTTCACGGAGGTGCTGAGTGATCGTCACGTTCCACCCTGCTAGCGATGGCCTCCAACCTACTATAGTGTAGGAACATTATGGAACATTCCACCCTGCAAATGTGAAGGGACGCATTTGGTCTTGTCTATGCCTTAAAACGGTCTGACTAGGTGATCTGAAAAAGAACTTCCTTTGGCTTGGGTGGTGACGAAAATCGTCGAACTGGACTCCTAGGGTATGCACCCTTTCCAAGAACAGAATAATTAGAATACAGCCTACATGGGTTATATGATGGTGTAATATAATGTGATGTAACTACCAACGCTTTGCCACAGACTCCATATATCTCAGAAATCACCTCCCCTCACACTCAATACCTGGTGTGGAGACCTCAACTTTGCTCGTTGGGATCCCATTGGCCCAGAAGGGACGATGATCTCAAAGACGCGATCCCGAGACCCGTCGAGGACCTCGATCGAACCTCGATCAGACAGATGAAGTCGAGGAGAGATGACGGGAGATGACCGAGGGTGACCGAGGTGACCATGTGACTCAAACATTGAGGTCGATACATGGGTTCCAGGTCTTGCTTTATCGACAGGTATCAACGTTTAAAAGTAGTATCATGTCATGTTCAAACCCCTCAGACTCATCAAGACTAACAAATGCCACAAAACATGCAGAACAAGAGCTCTCGTGTTGCTTCAGAACAGCAGTAAAGCTTGTCAGTAGGTTTGTTTCAAGCTATTCGAGCAGTTTGGGATCACCACGAGGAATCGTTTGGATCATGGCCTTATCAACAAATTCCAAATAGCTTTTGTCCAAAGAATGGTCCGTTTGTGTTTGTTGGTGTGATGCTTGCACTCACCGGGCGAAAAGGGCCACCGCCATAACGCCCATCGCAACCGGCAAACTAGCAACAAGAAGCTACGAACGGGGCTCCTGGCCTTGCTACGAACGGAGCGTTCCCTTGATCCGGTGGGTGTCGGTCGCCCGATCCGCTTCCCGATGGATCCGAGTGGCTGCCCGGATCCTCGATCCTCCAGCCAAAGCGCTCCTGCAAATGCTTCTGCAGCTCCTGATGGCGTGGCCAAGAGGAACTGCCAGGTTTTAGCATGGTAAGGAGACGCGCTAAGTGCTAACAAAAACTTCGGTGGCCTTGGCAATCACAGCAGCCATGCCGCCTTCGGCATGCATGCATTACTAAGACCAGATCCAGTAAAAGGTAAGCCACTGATCCCTAGTCAAGTAACATATTCATGGAACAAATCAGCGCCTTTTCTTTCAACATGCGCTTCAAACGAAACCTTTCCCCACTCGGACACAAACTTGTGCCTACCAGCACCACCTCACAACCACACACAAACACCCCACACACCGCCAACGACATAGGACCACCACGTTGTCACCACTCCAAGAGCTGGCGGCGTCATATCCTGTTGTTGATCTTCCCAATCCAGGATCCTGCAACTTGTAACCGTACATCCCATATAAATTACATATCACATGTACTTGTAACTTGTACATCAAAGCCGCTTTCAACTGGTGATAACTATGTATATTATTATATATAATATGCATACCTTGTATTTACTTAGCTAGTAGCACAGGGCATCGCTACGAACGGAACAAGAAGCAACCAGCTGAATTGTATATCACGTGTAGTTGTAAAAGCTGCAAAAAAAACGGGTGATCACCATGTATGACTATGCATACCTCGTATCCAGTGCCTTACTAGTAGTAACAGGTGCCACGCTAGTAGTAACAAGAAGCTACTAGGAACAAGTGCATCGCTAGTAGTAACAAGAAGCTATTAAAAACAAGTGCCTTACTAGTAGTAACAGGTGCCTTACTAGTAGTAACAAG